GGGGTGGTCGGGGGCGCCCCCCCCAGCCACTAGACTCGGGTATGTATGGGGAGTCGGGGATGGAGGTCCAGAGGACTATCTGGAGGGGTGCGGAGGCGGGGCTGGACATGCGTGTGTGCCGGCGCTGGGGACAGTAGCTGGTCATGGGACTATAATAGGGAAGGAAGAGTAGGGGAGAAAGCACCTGGCCTTTCAGCAGGGGAAGGAGGTGGGGGGCGGTCATTTGCAGCAGGAAGCTGCTTTCCTGGGCCAGCGGCACAGGGCCAGAGCCCATACATTGCAGGGATCTGCACTTGCTGCTCACACTCTGGCCCGAGCAGGACAGAGGCAGCTGGGGGCCCCCTCTGGCAGGGCTGGAGGGGGGCAGAAGACTGTGGATCAGGAGTGAGGGGCACCAGCATGTCCTGGGAGTGGGCAGGGGGCTGTGGTTTGAAGGTGAGGGGCCCCAGCAGGACCAGGGAGCTGTGGGTTAGAAGCATTGCTTTAAAGATCTTCCTCAAGCTCTGCTCAATATTTCTGGATGAGATGATCACTGAGAGAAACTGGAATTAACCTAATATTTATCAAGTGTAGAATGTCTCTTGATTCTACCTGTTTACATTTCTCACACATATATTAAAGAAAGATGAAAAGTAGTGCATGAAGACTATGAAGGGAAATCTATATTACTATATCAAACGATCCATTTATTTCACCCAATATATGATTAAACGATACATTTCAAAACTTTTAACTAAGCAACAGTGACTAGGTACAAGTTTATATCTGTAATTCACTGCAGGGCTTAAACGCAGGCCTGCTTACATTTTCACCCATTTAGTTACTTGCACACATTCAGAAGCCTAGTTTGCTCAATGTGGTCCATCTTTTCTTTTGAATGTTCAGTAATCCTGAGGCATCTGAAGTAGAAAGCAGCACATATTCATCATTTAATGTTTGCTGAAAGCATTAACCAGAAGAGGCATAAGACAAGTAGATTTTTGGTACAAGTTGAGAAGAGAATCCAAAAATGAACCACTCATCTAGCCTCTAAATCACAAAATAAAGATCTAGATTCTGGAAGACAGATGTTTCACTGTGATGAATATCAAGTAAGGGAGGAGATTTGCTGTGACAGGAAAGAACATACAAGCCTCAGCAGTCAACGCCACTTCAAAGGAAAATAAAAATAGAAGAATGCAGGCCCCTGTAATTGTGGGAAAGGAAGCTACTGCACAGTTAAATGGATGAAAACACAGGTATGTGAAGGACAAGAGG